AATGTACAAATGTTGTTGATATGAATATTGGTATTAATTTGATAGTTAAGTGAACAAGTATATCCGGAAGGTGATTGAGTAGGATAGGACAGTTGTGGTATTTGGATGATGTCCTGTAATGGAGTCTAAAAGAAAAAGTGTGATGGATATATGAATATACGAAGTAAAATTAGAAGAAGTAATCTCCACGATATAACAATATATTATATACCTCTAGATTAGTTTCAGGTTGAATAACATTTACTGGAATTTGATTTTCTACATATTGTGGAGGTGAATTAATCGATGGTACATATTCAATAATTGGTGCGACCTATTGTTAAAATTACACATAAATTAAACAAATAATTGAAAATCATTGATGTTTATGTAAATGTCTATAAATTATTCTTACAAGGATCGGTGATGGTAATATTTGTATTTGAGGCTCTTGAATTAATTGTACCTAAATTTGAGAATTTTTATTCAAGTTTTCTAGTAAAATATTATATAATTCCATTTTTACATACATCTACAGTAGCGGATATTTCTACAGAGGGTGGTGGTTGAAATGAGTCTTGTAATATTGGACCCAATGGTCCCTGTTAAAATATATATGTAAAGTATATTTCATTTAAAACTGCCATAGAAAATAAATTTATATTATTTTACCTACCGAATCTATTACTTCCAATGGACGACTTCTCTAAAATACAAACATTGTTTAGTTTTATATTGATTTTATTTGTTATATTAAAAAATAGAAATTTTCTCACATCAAACTTTGATGGTTTTCTTCGTTTAGTGATCATTTCCTTCAAAGACATAATTGTATACAAAATTCATATTCAACAAATTATGTATCTTACATTTTTAAATGGACTTGCCATTATTTTTGGTAAACGTGTTGGAACACAAGCAGCCTAATATTTACAAGAAGAAATCAAATTTATTAATCCTAAATTAATTTTAGATAAAAAACGTGTATCTTTACTATTTTAAGTGATATATGATTTGGCGGAAAACCATCTTCTGTACCAAGAATAATAATCCGTATTAAATTAGCTTGTACATTGCCAAGTTTATTAATACTTTTCGAACCAATATTAGATGTTATTTCAAGATAATATCGATGTGAATGATGAAGTTGAATTATAAAACTATCAATATTACTTAACGAATGAAATGTTATTGAATCAATTGCTAATGTTGATGTTAATACGATATCAATTGTATGTGTTTCTACAGTAAGAAATTCCATTCCATTTTGATTTGGATTTATTAAATTAGTAGCTTTCATATGTTTTTTCAGAGTTTTGATATCTACTCGAGTTACTTGTTTAGGATTTCCAAATAAACGTAATTGAGATGTACAATCAGTAATTTCAGGAATTTCATTACCTTCCTAAAAAAGTGTATTGAAATAACAAAAGATTATCTCTTTTCATTATACTTACATTCGATGGTGAATATATCGGATTACATACTCCCTAGAAAAACAAATTTTTTATGAAATTCTAAAGTGTAAACTATCATTACTACTCACAATACTAAATGTAATATGACTTGGTAAATATCCATCCGTAGTATGAGTAATTGTAATAACTAACATAGAAATTAACATTGTAGGAAAACCATCTACAACTAAACCGTCATTTGTATTCTTAGAAGTAAATACAGCTAACATCCCAGCATGTGACGCTTCTACTTTAAAACTTTCTACATTAGCTGAATATGGTATGAAAACATATTTCATTGTAAATGGTTGAACAAAATGTACTTCAAATTCATAAGTATCACTTGGTAATGAAAATGTATAACCAGTACCACCAAAATTTATCTCTGGTCCGACTATTTGATGTAATGGATTACGTGATCGAATCATTGTTATGTGTGAACCACCAATGATAAGAATTTGTTCGAAACATTGACCAGGTTTACGAGAAAATGGTATCGGTTTATTTGGGGATGGTAACTATGTAAATTAAAATAATAAAAATAAATTAAATCCTATTTATAATCTATTTAAAAAGTCTATATTTTAACAATATATACAATCAAGAAAATGATATTATTTAACAGTATAAATGAATATAACTTACATTGATATCGATTGTTCCTACCAGTGATGTTGATGGTATTTGATTCTCAGCTGGTCCCTTAGGATTAATCACCTAAAATAAAGTATTATATCGAACATTATAGATAATACACTAAGGCTTTTATGCATATCACTAATTCAAAAGTAACGACTAACTTTCTAGCATATATTTACATTAAAAAACTTAGAGCTTATTTTTAGATTCAGTAACATAAATTAATTTTCGAGGATGATTGATCGCATCTGGTAGTTAATAGAAAAAAACTCACCATCCTCTAAAGTTCTTAAAACAATATGTCCATCTTCTTAAGTGATGGTAAACATGATTCGATTATGTACAAAATATCTAGTATACTTTAACGTCAATGAATCACATCATTCAAGGATTAGTACTGCTGAGAATAAATTATGATAACTTTCATATCATTCAAAAATAATCGTTCCTCAATCGTCACCAATTTATAGATAGAACACATCACTTACATATAATGGATCTTGAGATTCTGTAGGAATAAATGGTAATTGTGGTACATCTGGACTACGATAATATTGACCACCGATTCTTCCACTACTACCACTATCTATTGATGATGATGTATCAAAACATCCATGCTATATTTAATAAATAGAACAATTGTTTTACACATATACCATCTACTTACAATCACAACTTTGATGTTTCTTGGTGGTCTTCCATCATTTGTTGTGTATAAATTCAAATAAAGACGAATTGCGACTTTAGCCAATGGTATTCCAACTATACTTGGTTGATTACCATATTCAGGAATAAGAGATGAATAATATGTATCATCAACATTTCGAAGTGGATTATACAATCGAAGACCATATCTTTGAACATTTGACTGTGATCCAAGTGTTAG